TTTACTTACTTACTTATACTTATAACTTTAAATAGTTATGTATCCTAAATGTGATCATCAAAGACCCCATTTGACATATTAGTTCGTCGTCTGGTTGTCGCCATATTGTATTTTAATTACTGCTTGTCTTTAGTGACACTTACAAGATTAAAGCCGAACGTCCACCGCGAAATAAACTATGTGAAAACTAGGCTAAGGCAATCTGGAAAATCGTTGCACGGCGCAGTGCGTGCGCAGTGATGACCAGTTTATACTGGAGTGTTGAGTAAATCGGACGTGATGGAAGAACAAGAACTATGACGAGAGTTAAAGAGGATTATATTCGTTATAGGAAAAAAGATTGATTATTGCTCATTTCATAAAGAGAAAAGGCAAACACAGATACTGGATAAGCAAGCACATTCAATATTGGAATCACTGCCTGCGCATAATCACACACAAAACAAAACAAACAACACTGACCGAAATGCGCCAGAGGGGTAAGATAAGGGGTGAGAGGCGCTTAGCTTAGTTCGCGCAGTTTCGGATCGGCCTACACAACTCTCGTATATAAGTTAGTTTGACTTAGTTTGGCTATTTTACCTAACTTAGCTGGCATAGCTTGCGCTGGACGCACATGTATGAAAAACTGGCTCAGCTATGTGAGTTAAGATAAACTAAGTTAGTTTGGTTTGTGGTTGACGTTCGCCTTAAGACAAATCGACTGATCTAAGAATCATCAAAATTTCTCCACACGTTTGGTCTCTAGAGCGCTACAAAGGAACAAACATACATACACACATACATACATGCCTACATATATATATAGGCTGATAAACACATTACCTTCAGCGGTCGGGTAAAAACAAGACTTGAATTATAAAAAATTTGCTTTGCGTGTCATTTCCATGGATAGACTAAGACTGCTGAGGATTAAATATATACATATTTCTAACAAAATCATAAAATAAAACCTGCGAGTCAAAGGTTTCATTTTAAATTCTGAAATAATCTTAACCACGCACAATTAGTACTTATACGAAAATGTTTTCAAATGATTTTCATTGCGACTAAAGTTCTAACCGCGCTATCTCATTACTTGTGGAATAAATATCGATGTCTCTTAAGAAAGCACTCACCATATGTTGTGTCATCGATAGATAATAAGGTATGCCGTTAATATAACAGTATGAAGCGTATGAATGACCTACACGCAACGAGGCATTCAGCTAGTGTATTATTAAACGACTACCGCCGGGACCGGTATCGAAGATAGTGGGTATTGAGGTAAAGAGAAAACTTAATGTCAATGCAATAATGTTACAGCGATTAACTGAAACATAGTATTTATGCAAATGTTTACGGTGACAATGTGAAAGTGATAGAACTTTCTACTAAAACGGGAATGTGGTAGGGCAGTGCTATGATTAAAAATTAGCTCCCTTGGCCTATTTCAGTTCAGTCACGACACGACAGCTGTCACGTACACATCGTATCTCTTTGCTCTTTATACAATTTCAAGATATGAATGTTTTTTGAATTGAAGTTACTAACTTTAAGTAAAGTACTTTACCAAAAACAGTTTTCAAAAAAAATATTCAATGTTATGAAGTTATTTATTTAATTTAGCTTTAGTTTAGACACTAAAATGTAGGTTTTTTTTATTTTATAGGATAGGGTGACAAACGAGCACACAGTCCACCTGATGGTAAGTGGTTACTGCGGCCCATAGACATTTACATCTATCCTTGATTACAAATCAAAATGCAGATTCGTTGTAACCCGTGAGGACTAAGATGAAATGCCTCATTTCCAGTAAAAAGGGTCTCCGGTTCTCTACACTCACCATACGAAACACAGCAGCGTTAAGCTGCTATTTTACGCTGGTTTTCTGTGAGAGCGTGGTCCTTCCCCGGCCGAGCCGACCCATTCGTGCTACAACTATACTACTAATATAGCTGCAGCATGGCTCTACCACGTTAAATTAGGTTACATTTAATAGAATTGATTTCTTTCGCTTTTCGCTTTCAATCGATCATGGGTGAATTAAGATATTATACCATGGACGTATAAAGAAGATCTTATTTATACGTCCATGTATTGTAGGTACCAAGTGTTACTCACTTATTAAATGTTGTTTAAGCGCACACGCTTTCATTGGCTTATTTTTGTGATAATAAAGTAAAATCCGGTTTCAAAGAACTAAAAAAAATATTTCCATATGATTTCCAAGTTGCAGCTTACTAGCTTACTAACCTACATTGCGTCTTAGTACAGATGGAAATATTCCTTCAAATTGTAACGAGACCAACCTTAAGACCTATAATCGATTTACAATTCGCGAAGATATTGCGTAACGTGCATACAAATCCTAAAATCGAATTGAGAACTCCTCTTTTTTAAGACGGCTAAAAAGGAAGTTCATATTTACCGTTACTCCTACAGCCTATCAAAAGTCCTCTGCTCTGAATAGAGGCCTCCCCATAGATTGTCTTATATTTGTCACAGTTGCCATGCCTTACACGCAGTTTGGCTACCGCAGTTTTTTATTTATAGTTGTTATTTGGAAGACGCTGCTGTCCATCTCTTGGTTTGCTTTCCTCTGCTGCCTCTTAATTATTTATGATACCAGCGGCACGATATGGCATAGTGGATATTATTAGGTACACCGCCACTACACAGTCATTATATTTATAGGTAACTATATTTAAATAAGGTATAACATTTTTCTCACCTCTTAAACAGCTAACAGCCAACACTACACTATTTCCCGTGTGCTCTCCTTTCCATCACATTAACGAAGAAATTATTCACTGATTCATAAAAAAAGGAAGGTATGCAAATAATGTGCATAAACTAGAACTCTACAACAGTCATTAGCGGGGTTCCCGTCAAATTACCGTTTTCGTTCCCATTTAAATATTTTAATTTATTCCTATAGTCTTTTTGTCTATTTTTCATACTTTATAGCTTAAGCGTCAGTTTCCCTATGTGTGTATGAATGTAATGTACCTAATTAAGTTTTCACCCACATCCAGACAAAGATAATTTTTTAAAGAAATAATTTTATAATAATTGATATGAAAATTAATGTAATTTAGTAAATTATTATTAAAACTTTTACATTTAAGCAGTATGACACTTCAATTTAATTTACGAGTTTTAATTTGGGGGCACGGCAGTGCCCCCGCCAAGTCGAGCAAAAAAGCGGCCGTGCCGTACCATCCTTCTCTCGAAGCAGTTCAGGCCATTTTCGACCCCCTATAACTTCGTTGTGGATAAAACTAGAAACCTGAATTTTCAGTAATCAAGCATGCATTGTATAAACACGGTATATTTCAAATTTCATTCCATTTGAACCAGTAGTTTAAGAATTATAACTAGTCAAAGTTTCTTAATTTTGTCACTCACTGACTGACCGATCATCAAAACTCTAAGACACTTCTAGCAGACGTAGAAGCTTCAAATTTAGAATACAATTAGCGTTTGGTATATAAATCAAGGAAAAATTAAAATATTTTGTAATTTCGGTCCAGTTTTATAAATACACCAACTGCATAAATAACTTTGTAATCCCACATAAATCTAATAAAATAATATAAAATGGAATAAGAGGTTTAGATAGCTACCCAGATATAACTATCTACAGAAAGAAATGAGATGCCATCAAAAACATAACTTGTAAAATAAACCAAGTCTCGCAACTCAGTTCTACCGTAAAATGTTGTGAGATCCATGTAATACCAAGTCGGTTAATTTATTCAGTCCCTACTTAAGGGTACTTCTGTCTCAAGCTATTACGTAATTAGCCAACCTAACAACATCTTATAGTGACCATATCAATATTAAAAATCTTTTATGTTTTAAATACATAGATTGACTTGGCAACATTGGTAATTATTTAACAAAACCTTATTCCATATCTCTTCATTCGTGTTATAATTTACTTATAATACATTAAAAGTCATGAAGAAAAAATATTATTAGAGTTTCTTTAATATAAGTGTGACAATCGAGTGTACCGTACACCTGGCGGCAAGACCTGCAACCAACTTTAAACAACTTCAAAAAAGACGTTGATAAAAACTTTCCAGATGCGTTGTACTCGTAACCTTGAGAATGACTCGCGGCTTTTTTTGAAACTGATTACACTTCAACCGAAACACAGTAATGAGTATACTGCTGAAAAGAAGCCTTACCCATTTCTTAAATCCAATGCAGAGACAAAAAGTTGAATGGCTAAATAAATTTCTGTTCTTATTGAATTATTTGTTAATAAAAAATAAATAATAAAGAGACATTTTTTATTACGGACTAATTAATTTTTGAATGTCACGCTGATTCGTTCGCAATTTTATTACATATATGTAAATGTTACATGTTGATGACATGGTTAAACAATGACTAAGTTATTGATTGCGGCGCTTTTTATTTAACTGAAGTGATAAGTAAACTGACAGTCCATCTAATGTTTGATAATAAATAGCTACTGTAGCCCATAGACACCTTCAAAACATAAAAGAAGGTTACAGATGCGATATTACCTGTGAGGATTATGATGAAATGCTTGTATAGCTTCATCATCATCATCATTGCAGCCCTTCACAACTCCACTGCTGAAATAATTTTTCTGTGATAGATGTGATAGTCACTACAAGGCGTTTTACATAAATAAACAATAAAAATAAAAACCAAGTGTATAAAGGGTAATGTTTTTGTAAATATTCTTTATCCTCATAACCACCATACGCAGTAAACTACATACCTACTTAAAGCACTATAAAATTATAACATTCTGTTCTAGGCAGTTGATAAATAGGTACGTATACAAGATATTTTCCCGCAATGATCCGTTCCGGCCATGTAGGTCGAGAGAGGGTGTTCCGATTCACTCACAAAGTATTTTATTCAAGCTTTTAAAAACCCATGTAAAATAATACTTAACAGAATTAAATTAAAAGCATAAAATATATTTAGAGAAACTTAGTATGTAATTCTGTAACATGTTTTTTTCTTGGCAGGGTTTCGTGCATGTCCGTGTGTGGTTCCCGCAGTTCCCGGGCGTGGTGATGCAGTCCGATCAGGAGCTGATCATTATGTGCAAGCCGCCAGAGCCCACTATCATTGAGAATAAGGCTGCGGGTTTCGCTGGTAGCTTGTAAGTAGACTTTTGCTGACCAGGTACACTGTTCTGACATTTGGTTCGTGTACGCTGTCGATTAAACATCATAGAAGCGAAAACTAGTAATTAAACTAGTAATAAACGGAGTCTTTACGGTGTTTATTGAAACCTCTAATTTGTATTTAACATATAACACCGGCGGACTGGGGGGCAGAACTGGAACTGGAGGACAGGAGAGGCATATTCTCATGTCTGTCATTTTTTGCAGGAGGCAAATCTGCACACATAAAAAAAGCGTCTGTCACTATTATTCTCACACATAACAATTACAACAATAAACTATTAATTTCACACACACATAGATACATTATAACAGTATCACTCGGTGACAGCAACAACACAGATAGATATACTCACATCAGACGCTCGACTGATCTGCATATTGTATGAGGGTGAGCGGCGTGTATAGGTAAAAAAATTAAAACTATATAACCGTTGTTATTGTAATTTTTACGATTAAAAAGAAATAAATAGAAATAATGTGATTAAAAATTACTTATATATAAGAAATATAACACCATCTTTTTGTAAATTTTACGTGGCATATCTCTTTTTGCCGCAAAAATTGAACCAATTCGGCATTTTGTAGGACGTAGATTCAGCTGCGCAACTAGATTTAGTCTAGTGAGCAGTGCGGTGCGGCTGCAACCTGCAACTAGTTTTATTGTACGACTAGCTGTTCCCCGCGAGAAGTCGCGGGTGAAGACCCGCGTGTAATTTAGGTTTTTATTTTTTTGCGCGGAACCCTAATTCTTTTTCTATACAAATAAAAAAAATTGAAGTGTCTGTTTGTAATGTCAAAATTACAGTTTTTTACTAAATACACATGAAAGTATATACGGTACTTATAACCAAAATACTTTTTTTTAATTTTTGTCTGTCTGTCTGTCTGTCTGTCCGTCTGTCTGTCTGTCCGTCTGTCTGTCTGTTTTTTCCGGCTAATCTCCGAAACGGCTGGATCGATTTTGACGGGACTTTCACTGACAGATAGCTGATGTGAAAAGGAGTAACTTAGGCTACTTTTATTTTTAAAAAAGAATTAGGGATTTGCGAAAAAAAATTAAAACCCCAATTAACACGCGAGCGAAGTCACGGGGAACAGCTAGTCTTAAATAAAAGTAGCTTATGTTACTCCTTATAACGTCAGCTGTCTGCCAGTGGAGAAGGGAGAGAGATGCACATTCTGTTCATTCTTAACGCTAAAAGGTAACACAGTTTGATTTTTAAAGTGGAATATTTTTTTTATTTTTATTTAATACTTGTGTTGTATATAGGATACCTTAAAGCTTAAAGCTATTTATAAATTACTAGCTGTTCCCCGCGACTTCGTCCGCGTGGAATTTATTACTATTGGATTTCATGGGTTTTAATTTTTTTACGCGGAATCCTAATTCTTTTACTAAAACAAAAATAGCGTAAGTCAGCAATCTGCCAGTGAAAATCCCATCAAATCGGTCCAGCCGTTTCGTAGATTAGCCGGAACAAACAGACAGACAGACGGACAGACAAAAATTTTAAAAATGATGTTTTTGTTATAAGTACCGTATATACCTTCACTTGCATTTAGTGAAAATTGGTGTGGCTGTTTGTAATGTCAAAATACAAACAGCCACACCAATTTTATTTATTTGTATGGACCATGGACCGCGTAGCCTTAAACTTTGACAAAGTGGAACGCCCTGGCTACTCCAGTCCGATGCGCCGGTATCCCGTGTTGTTGCATGATATTTAATTAACCTATATGTAAAAACTAAAAGTAAAGTTACAAACTATATGTATATGACCTACAGCACAGGCCTCCATATTTCTCAGAGGGTTATTCGGATTTCAATGCGTGTTAGCTGCCTTCACATATTCTTGAAATAGTTTTATTCTTCAGATCTTATAGCTTTCCTCACGATATTTTGCTTTATCACCGAGCACGTGGTAAATCAGCATTTAAGATTGTAATTGGCGTCGGCGGTGACCAAACCTGGGTTGCTTGTGTGCCTACGATTCAAATTTATATAAATCATAATTACCATATTGTTATTAATTCTGACTTGCCGACTTTCCAGTTCACAGAAGACGGCACAAATTGTCGCATCTATATATAGGTATTTTACGAGTAGAAAGCTATGCAATTTATGTCGACAGCAAGTTCCCTTGCTGATCTTGGCCTCCAACATTAGCATACTCGATTTCGCATAATAAATTACAGATCATGTTTTGAAATCTTAAGCTTATTATATGGAATTTTAATACTTACTACTTACTGATACAAAACGATTGGATTTCCACTTGTGTCTCTAATTTTAAGTAATATTTTCAATTATAAAACTAACATTTTACAATTACAAAATAAGTAGTACACACAAAATAAGTACTTTAATGACTTTGCCATAGACTTAAAGGTAGGTAGGTACCTACGTTACATATTAATCTTTTATTACTATAGAAAGAAATTTAAAATAAATTTTAATTTTTAATAATAAATTTATAATAAACTAGCTGGCCAGGCAGGCGTTGTTCTGCCCTTTTCGACGACCCTTCATATAAAAAATCCTTAAATTCGTAATAAAAAAATATTGAGTGTCACTTATCAGGATAAAAACACCGAACTGCACAGTGTGCAAAATTTCATTGAAATCAGTTCAGTAGTTTAGAAGTTCATCGCGGACAAACAACGTGACACGTAATTTTTTATAAAGATGAGATAATGGCGAAAATATTTGTTTGATTGATTCAACTCCATTTAAGAATATATTTTTAATATATTCTGTCGATTATAATTTAAACGTGTTTTTGTCAAAACTATTTCGGATATATTTTTCCTTTTGTTAGCCTTTAAATACATACATATATAAGGGACGCTGATGGCCAGCGATAGAACATTGAAAGGCTGTTACTATACTTTACTTTATTTATTCGGCAGTCCTCATGGAGCTCGGGTATCTGGCGTAGTTGAAGAAACTCCAGGGCGATTAGAATATGAGGTGGCTTTGTATAAAGAAGCTCCGCCTGTTTCCCGTCACAGTAACCATTCCGTCGATTTACCAGTTGATCAGGTGAATATAAAATTTATAATGCATATATTTTTGAAGTGAATGCTTCTTTAGTTATGTTGAGCGTATTTTGGTAGAGGAAAACTTATGGGTTCGCGTTACCGATAACCTCGACATTCTCGTGACGTATTTTTTTTATAGGATAGGGGTGACAAACGAGCACACAGTCCAACACGTGTTTTACGTGGTAGAGCCATGCTGCAGCTATATTAGTAGTATAGTTGTAGCACGAATGGGTTGGCTCGACCGGGGAAGGACCACGCTCTCACAGTATACCAGCGTAAAATAGCAGCTTAATACTGCTGTGTTTCGTATGGTGAGTGTAGAGAACCGGAGACCCTTTTTACTGGTAAAGAGGCATTCCATCTTAAATAACTCCTTTCCAGTTAAAACTCAACACTCACCATACAAAACATAGCAGCATTAAGCTGCTATTTTACGCTGGCATCATTGAGTTTTCACTTCTGTCGGCAGCTGCAGTCGGTTATTGCAAAATATGGCTGATTATGGCTGGTTATTGCTGCCTCTGTTTTTTTTTTATTTGTCTTGTCTCGCACAAAAATATAGCGTTTCAACGAGGAATCCTTGTATAATATTACTTCCTATTCTGAGGGCTATGTTCAAAGTTTTTCTGCGTCGTATAACTCCGTAACGATGATATTCGCAATAGAACCAGAGTAACCAACATAGTCCAAAGAATCAGTAAGCTGAAGTAGCAATGGGCTGGCTATATCGCTGGACAAACCGGCAACCGATGGGAAAGGTGGTGGAAAAGGATGGAGGGACGACCGAGTAAAATACGCAGGAAGTCGATTGATGTAGATACCTCATGATTGTGCTATGTGGCATTGCTTGGGGGTGGCTTTAGCACAAAAATAGTCAAAAATCATAGAGCAGTTGAGATAAAACAATAGAAAACCTAAAAATATTGCTTTCTGTACACTTCATGCTTTATATTTTTTGAACTATGTCGTGCTTACACACTCTGAAGTACTCTCAAACAATACGCCACCCAGTTTACTTCTAAAGTCGGTTGAATACTGAACTTCTTAACATGTAATAAAAATAGCATGTATCTGACATCATCATCATTACAGGCAATCGAAGTTCACTGCTGAACATAGGCCTACCCCATAGATTAACTGGGGGATACTTGCCGCAGTTCCCACGCTTGGCAAGCGGTTTGGCAACCTCAGTTATTTTTTTAACTTATTTTGAGTTTATTTTATCAGGAAGATGCTGATACTTATCTCTTGTTTCAGTTTCACTCCCCCCCCCCCTCCTACGACACGCACGGGCATAGTGTAATGGATTATCTTACGTCGCCACTACACGTCGAACTTAAATATGATAGTCAAGTTATTTATACGTCCATGGTTACAAATTATGAACTTTAAATCAGTATTAATTAAATTGCTCGATTTGACTTGTCATTATCATAATGCCCGGGCTTTATGAATCGTGCGCTAAATCACTTGGCCCATAACATAGTATACACCATTTCTTAGCAACTTTATAATATGAAATTATTTTATTATTTTTAGTTGTTTGTAGATACCGTTTACTTTTTATTAAAAGTTAATATTTTAATCCAAATCAGCTTTATGTCTCTAATTAAATATAATCGCTACAGGCTGTTCCTATCGGCACAAAGCTTCAGCTACGCGCCCGCATCAATCCCGACTCAGCATGGCGGCACATCAAGCTGTTGGAGGTAGCCGTATCGCCCGACCCCGACCGACCGCACGCTCCTGGCGCTGTGCTTCTGGTAAAAGACGGGTAAGTCGTGATAATTTATCTTTCTTTTTCTTATTTATCTAAAGCAATTGCTAAACAATGACCTTATCTAGTTGCAGCAACTGCATGCAACCTTAAAATATCACTATGCAGGTAGGTTCGCCATTATCGTATGGATTTCGCACAGATTTGTCAGCCACAAGAACTGTTCGTTAATTTGTAGAATGCATCGCGTGAGGTGAGTCTTGCATCTATTAGAGAAAATATGCGTAGTGAAACAAGAGTAACCTACTTAAGACAACGATTTAGTAAGCTAAAGTAACAATTGGTTGGCCATGATTATCTAGCTCGAAGAACTGGCATCCTCATCCTGGTAAGCAAAATATAATGCTAGATGGAAACGGCCTTGTAACACATGCTAGAATTCGATAGATGCAGGTAGTTGAGTACCGTGTTTTGCGGCGCACTTTGCGAGAGCCCTAAATTACTTGTGATGGGATGTAGAGGTGATGATGATAAAGATGGGTCGGCTCACAGAATACCAGCGTAAAATAGTAGCTTAATCCTGCTGTGTTTCGTATGGTGAGTGTAGAGAACCGGAGACCGTTTTTACTGGAAAAGAGGCATTCCATCATAATCCTCACGGCTGACAACGCATCTGCATTTTAATTTGCAAACGAAGATAGATGTAGATGTCTATGGGCAACAGCAACCACTTACCATCAGGTGGACTGTGTGCTCGTTTGTCACCCTTATTCTATATAAAAAAAGATAGTCGTAAAATAATTAATTACTATATTTACAGCAATTTTTTAAATGTCTTAATTTCCACATTCATTGCGTGTTCAGATGTCGCAACCGTGACTTCGCGTCGATCATACCCCACCAACCGGCGCGGTATCGTGAGCGACACAACGAAGTGTTCCTGGACTTCGAGGCCTTCCTCCTGGCCTCCATGAAGGAACGATCTACGCTGTGGATACATTCTCAAATCAAAGCCTGCATGGACGCAGCTGACTGCCAACCAGATTACTGTCTTGATTTGTTTGAGCCTTCAGGTATCTATTAAACATTTTTAAGTGTTCATAATATTTTAAGTCCTTAAAATTTAGTTTGCTAGAAATGTTGATAGTTGCATGACCAAAACATGTATGTCCAAAATAATTCGTATTCACTAGTACGTTAATAGTTAACCGATAAAGGGCTTTTTGCAAATAGATTCACCGTAATGGCTACGTATGACGTTATACGTGGTAGAAACATGCCGCTGCTATATTAGTTGTCCCCGACTTAACACTGCTGTTTTTCGTATGGTCAGTGTAGAAAACCTTTATACTGGAAAAGAGGCATTCCATCTTAATCGTCACGGGTAACATCGCATCTGCATTTTGATTTTCAGACGAGGACCACAGCACACAGCAACTAATTACGATCAGGTGTACTGTGTGCTCGTTTGTCATCCTATCCTATAAAAAAAAATAGGCGTTTAAAATAAATAGTCAATATTATATGTGGTATCACGCTTTTTAATATAAATAAAGGTAAACCAGCACACAGCCCATCCAATGATAAAAGGCTACTGTAACCCATAATTTATAGCTTTATCTATTCTGATAACTAAAAGAGAATGCCTCGTTACTAATAACAAGGGTCTTTGGTTCTCTACACTAACCATATGAAACAAAGCAGCATTTAGCTGCTATTTCACGCTGGTACTCTGCGAGAGCGTGGTCCTTCCCCGGTCGAGCCGACCCGTTCATACTACAATCATAACATAGCTGGAGCGTGGCTCTACAACGTTAAAAATTTCGCATAAGATACTTCCTGCGTGTCAGCTTTTTGAACACGCCGCTAGATATTCAAAATACACCAGCACAATTAGTCATGTAATTATGAAAGGTTTGCCTATAGATACTAGAGCCTACATATCTTGAGCATACTAGTCCTATAAACAGTGGTGTAATGTGTGCTTGATATATAAACAAAACCTATACTAGAATTATTTTGTGCGTGCAGTTTGGGTCATAAATCATCTGAGTATTTCGCTCTCTCTCCCACTCACGGGCCTTAGGGGCGAGCATAATGATGCACATTATTGTTGTCGATAAGCGTTATCGATAGTGTATTTAGTTTTGTCATTATGTGGGTTAGTTATAAAAATGAAAAAAATAGATAAAACAACATATTTATTAAAATAAGAATAATAATGATTTAAAATAAATTATTTATTAGGTATCTATGTATTAAAAAACTATAAGTACATATGTTTAGAATGTAACAAGTTATATTAAAAATAAATATAAATATAAAGATAATAACTTATATCTAAAATTAAATTTGTTGTTATCGATAATGGCGTTGCGCCCGCGCAACAGGCTCACTGCCGCGGCTGACGCCGAGCTATGATTTATGAACCCAACTGCACGGAGAAAATAATTTTACTATAGTGTAGTGTGTAGTAGTGTAGTGTTTCGTTTTTTTATAAATACAAATAACTTAATAATTAAAAATATCGACCATTAGGCCAAGGACGTCGCAGAAGATCGCTGCCCGAAGCTTCCAATGCACAGAACGCAAGCAGTGCGGCGCTGACGGCGGACAATGTCTCGACGCCATTCACGCGGTTCAAGGAGAACCTGGAGTATACGGTGGTGATGCCCGGAGAGCTGTTCCACCGCACGCCACCAGAAGCCACGTGCGCCACCTCCATGATGCTAGCGGTGGCTCTTGGTGCCTTACTTTTTATGTCCGCTTTATTGGTAAGTTGTACATGCGCCGCCTCACAACTTAGCCTGAGATCTATAGACCGTTTTTTTTTTGCATGCGGCTCACCTGATGGTAAGTGACTACCGCCGCCCATGAACAACTGCAACACCAGGGGAACCAGGGTAATTGCAGATGCGTTGCCAGCCTTTTAAAAAGGAGTAGGCTCTTTTCTTGAAGGTCCCTAAGTCGTATCGATCCGGAAAAATCGCTGATGGTAATCGATTCCACAAGGAAGTTGTACGAGGAAGAAAACATCTTCTAAATTGCACAGTGATGGACCGCCAATCATCCAGATGGTGTGGATGGTATCGGGAGTTCTGCCGCGATGTGCGTTCGTGAAATTTGGCGGCTGGGATTAATCCGAACAATTCCTCAGAGCACTCCCCGTGATAAATGCGAAAGAAAATGCAAAGGGATGCAACATCTCTTCGCAGTGCCAATGAATCAAGCCGATCGGAAAGGACTCGGTCGTTGATGATTCGAGCCGCTCTGCGCTGGACGCGGTTAATTGGAAAGAGCTGGCACCGGGGAGCCCCTGCCCTGAGATGGGAACAGTATTCCAAGTGAGGCCGAACCTGCGCCTTGTAAAGTTGCAGGCGGTGTGCTGGCATGAAATACTGTCTCGCTCTGCTGAGCACGCCAAGCTTATTATAGGCTAATTTGGTCTTCTCTTCCAAGTGACCACAAAACTGCACGTCACTCAATATGTCGACTCCGAGGATTCCGATACTGGCTGAAGCAAGAAGAGGAGTGCCTTGAAACTGAGGAGATACGACAAAGGGGTTCTTTTTAGTGGTAAGCGTGTAAACTTGTGTCTTCTGAGGATTAAACTGGACTAGATTTAGTCGCCCCCAATCCGAGACTTTGTTCAGCAAAGACTCGACTTCAGACACAAGTTTGTTCCGGTACTCGGCGACGTGTTCCCGAGAAATATTGGCACGGCCGGTGTATAGAGCATCACCAGTGCTGTCATCCACATAGCAATGAATGTTACCAGTTAGCAGCATATCATTGATATGCAGAAGAAACAGCGTTGGTGATAGCACACAACCTTGTGGAACACCAGCGTTGATAAGCTTGTAGTCGGAGCATGCACCATCTAAAACGACCTTGATGCTCCGATCTGCAAGTAAGCTGGTGATTCAATTGCACAATTTCGTGGGAAGCCCATAGGAAGGGAGCTTCGAAAGAAGCGCTTTGTGCCAAACCCGATCGAAGGACTTCGCAATGTCCAAACTAACGGCCAATGCCTCCCCCTTGGACTCTACCGTACTTTGACTTTGCTCAGACTTTACTTACGAATAACTTAGCTGAGTATATGCTAGCATAATCTTTGATTCTGAATTTATACATAATTTATAGTATAGGCTTAGAGATTAAGCTAAGCTTATGCTAATGTCAGACAGTCAAAATATTAATAGATGCTTCATTCCAGGCATTATGTTCTTGACTATATTGTACAAAATTAAAAAAATATATATTTAAAAAATCGAAAAGAGATCAAATTGTATTTCATAAATAAGTTATTATTACATGGATGAGAAGAGTGCAAAATCGAAAAAAAATAAAAAGAATATTTTAAGAAATTCGGAATAAGTTTGAAGTTACGTAAATAGAAAATGGATTAAAGCTATTTAAAACTAGAAGACGGCCTAAATGTACCTATTTATTGTTATAAATAATTAGAGTAACATAAAAACAACAATTTAAAATTAATACGGTGGTTTTGGATAATATCCTCAGTTTTACGTAAGTTGTATATTTCGTTGACATAGGCTCTGCTGAGCGCGTACTCAGCACGATTTCGAAGTTTACTCTATAAATACAGATATTGTCGTAGCTCGAAAGTAAAGTCTGAGTAAAGTCAAAGTATGGTGTGTAGATCTCAGCCTTAACAGACTTAGACTTAACAGCTATATTGTCAGCTTTTTTAATGCGCATATTTACATGTATTTGTCGCAGCTAAATAGCTTAAATTAGCCTTTCAGTTAATAACCTAGTCGTCTCGTTTAATGAAATTGATAAGGTGACCATGCCATGTAATGTCACTGGTGTGTGCCTAATTATGCGCTATGTGCTATATTATATAAATGTACACGGCTTTAGGATGGCCCAAGAGCCACCCCAGCCGCATCTTAATCTACTGTCGCTGATATTACGAGATAGGTGCAATGTTGTATTAGATGCATCGGCTGAATATTCATTCAAGTCGGTGGTTGAACACCGTTTAGTAAAAAGGCTAGGCTGTTAACTGAAACTAAACAATTAAATTGAACACAACTCTGCTCGAACGGCAGTTAGACACCTCAAAAACACCATGACAAGTAATCTGAAATTTGGTCACTGGCCATTTGGTACAGCTACGTGGTATGTGATAAAGGAAAAAGGAGATATATTTGATCACTTGCCACCAGTGTTACCCGTAATAAATTTCTCACACACGTAATTATGCTGTTTATATGTCCATTTAATTATTTTACTATATTAGAATATTATGCTTTATAATAACTCATGACAACTTCACAAATCATTTCTATCCTTGAATTCAGTTTCTATATCTAGTACTCTATTGTCCAAATACTCAAACGCTGCTCAATTTTAAGATGCCGTTAAGTCTCGTGCTGTCTCTATCACTTTAAGTTAAAGTGACTGTGACAACACGAGACTTGACGACATCTTAAAATTGAGTAGCGTTTGAGTATTTGGCCATAAGTTGTCTTAATTATTTTGAAAACTTTTGCACTTTTTTTTTTAGTTGTCTTAATTATTTTGAAAACTTTTGCACTTTTTTGTATTTTCTAATAGACCTGAAAGTAGATCGGTTGCCCTATGGTATTAAACCCGCCTTTTTGAAGGCGTTAGTGTGCAAACGAAGATAAAATAAATAAATAAATGTAGTTCTAATCGCTCACCAGGTCAGGCAGGCGGTTTCAAAGTTGCAAAAGTTGTACTGGTATAGTTGTTTCTAATCATCATCAATCTTTAGGATTTCTATTGTTTTGGCTCCTGTCGTGTTATTTTACTAGAAGAGAGCACCGCGTGCTTCTTTGGAGTTTTGAAGAACAAGTAAACATTGTATACAACTATAATCTTTAATCAAGAGCAAAACAAGCAATACTGTTACATCAGGTCTGGTGCTTCTCATGTGGTCCCATATAAATTTGATTTAGGTTTGACCAGTAGTTTTTGAGTTATCCTTAATAATTTATATTTTTTTGCGGTTGTACAAAATTTTTAATTTTACGACTTGTTTTTTATTGCGTTATGTTAGTTACTCCAGGTAATACTGGCAACATCATATTATTTCACAGATGTGCTACCTCGCCACCAAACTTAATTCAACAATGTTGAAGAATAACAACCTTCAGTCGCCTTCAGGGAAGGGATTCGAACAGATCCTGAGAGAACTCGCACACCATACGATTCCCGAAACAGGCTACACAGGTCGACCCACCGTTCAATAACAGGCCTGACTAAGTGCAGGTCAATTGTTGCTATAAAATTATGGGCGTGATATTACAAAAACATATGTATCTAATGTATTGATAAAATACTTTAAAATACCAATTTTTATTTATTAGTTGATTTTAAATATGTATTCAATTAAAACAATGGTGAAAAAACTTCAAAAATCAAATATGCAGGTAATGTATTTTTAAAAATACTTTATAAAAAAAAATTAATTTTAGGTAGAAGTTTAAGTATTTAGTTTATTAAAGTGAATTAATATAGTTTACCTAAATGTCGGGATAAATACTTGTGGTTAACTTATATTTCTAAGTTCCACAACAATTAAGTATTCTGGTGCTAACATAAGCAACTAAGCTGGCTTATTGTGTATTATTAATATTTGAATATATTGTTTAGCTATATAGGTAAATACTTTAATAGTCTACCAAAATATTAGGAAATTAGCATCAATTATAAGGTAAAAACTGTTCAGTATTAATATTTAAGCGTAATACACGGCATATATTATTAGCTCTTAAAACCTGAAAAAATTGGAAAACTAAGTTGCTGATATCTATATGTTCTAAAAGTAAAGCTAGTTAGCGGATCAGTGGAGCTAAAAGCTCCCAATACAGCCATTTTTAAATCACATTTATTGTTACATGGTATAATATTTTTCAAATAAAACGAAGCTTTTGAGATTTTCCCTTGACTTAATTGAAATTTCTATACATACTGAATTAAGTATTCTCAGATTTTACATCGAATATCATACACACACACACACACACACATAGATATATACAACATGTAACAAAAACCCTGTGGTTCCCGTTAAGTACGTTATCAGGATCAGTATTCAAACCTATAGAAATAACTTTTTTTAAACTGCCATATTTTTTTTTAAATTATATTAATTTTTTTTAATTTTATGTGGTTTTATTACCTCTTACTGACACTAGCCGATGCTAAAGCTAAGTGAAGCGGGGTCTTTGACAATCCTCTTACTCCCCAGACAATGCAGAGGTAATAAAACCACATAGGTACAATTTGAATACAATTTTTTTTAAATAAAATAAAAAATATATTGTTTGAGTTTTTAAAAAAAAGGTATTTCTATACGTTTGAATAATGATACTGATAACGTACTTAACGGGAACCACAGGGTTTTTGTTACATATTGTATATTTAAACGCACTGGTAATAGGTATTACATCATACAAAAATTATATAGGTAAATACCTAAGTACTCTTTTTGTAACCTTGTTTTATTGATAGTTTATTTTAAATAATAATGTTTTATTCCTATATAAATGTATTATTCCCAAATATTTCAACAAAATATGAGTATACCGCGTTAAAGATCAATAATTTTGAATTTCAAAAGAAATAAATATTAATTTTAACAACCGTTTTATGTTAGGACTCCAAAATGTATCGAACATAAAGCAACATTTATCTACTTCATAAGTTTAAGACATGTTTCTTAAAAGTAGTAATTAATATTTAAGTATAAATAAGTATTTATTGTTTACCGTATAGGTGCTAGCTATTCTTGAACTTATGACTGAAAAATCGTAAGTTGTTAAAGCTACTTTTTCAGTCATGACCAATATGTTAAAAAAGAGCCTATAACTTATTTTATATAATAATTTATAAGTAATAAATAGAAAGAAAATAACTTCTATTAATATTGTGTTTTATTTAAATGCCCAATAACCGAAATATATCACGTGGCCTTATGGGCTGTAGAATATATTGGCGACTCTAACAGAAAATGTAACATTTGCGGTGAGTTAAATGTCACTCAACTCAAGAAAACCAGCAGTCTTGCGTCCGAACGAGACTCGTCTTCCCTCGTTCCCGCTCAACAACCTCTTTCAGGACTATCACTGACTCACAGACTAAGGTTACGCTCCACCAGGCCGTATCGCCGATTCAACCGTTGCCAGCAAGAGGTCTTATCTGATACAGGTCACCATACCTCGCCGCCGCCGCTCCAGTTCCTACGCTGGATATAACGCGAGCGAATGATTTGCAGAATCCTGATCCATCCCACCACTTTGGAAGCACTTTGCCATCGTCTCACGTCCGTGTTTAAACAAGTAACCCCCATATCCGATAATTATCGACGTAAGTCGGTGGGTATCTTCCACATCATCGATATATCCAGGCCTCGAATTGCAGTATAAATCCTCAAATGACGCATTTATACGTATGTTTCTTACAAATTTGCTAGAACTTTAAGTCATTTCTGCTTTTTAACTGCCTCGAGAACTTCTTCAGGCTGACATATTATATTAGAATAGGATAAAATAGAATCATTTGTATTCAATATCGATTACATGTAATTCTTATTGAAAGGAATTTTTAACTTTTACCACTGGTTCGGTAAGAAACCTCTGTTATGAGAGGAATCAGCAAGAAATCTAGTGGGACTTTTTCAAAGGCATAAATTACAATATAATATTTCTACAGTTGTTATGAAAACATTTAGAAACAGCATGGTTGCGATCACCTCATTCTTTTATTAGCAATCATGTACTCTTTAGTAGTAAGCGAACATTGTTTAGCAAGAGTTATTAACTCTTTAGTAGTAAGCGAAAATTGTTTAGTAAGAGTTATTAACTCTGACTAAACAATTTTCGCTTAATAATAATTTAAACCTTTTGATAGAGAAGGTTTGCATATTTTCTGGGACTTTTTTTGTTGTAAAAGCTTAGGTACACCTACATCGCACAATGATGGATAGCATAATGTCGTATGGTATTTTGCTATGGGGACACGCAGCTGACACTGAAATTATATTTGTTTTACAGAAGAGGGCCATAAGAGCAATTTATGATTTAAAGCCTAAAGAGTCGCTGCGACAAAAATTTGAGGAAATTAATATATTAACTTTGGCCTCTCAATACATTTATGAAAATGTAATGTACGTACACAAAAATAAAATTAGTTGTACAAAGATAAGTGATATTCATTCTGTAAATACTAGGAACAGACACAAGCTAGTAGTACCAGTTACTCGACTCCATCGAGTCAGTAATTCATTCTTGGGGCGATGTATACGCCTTTACAACAAAATTCCAGAAAATATACAAAGTTTGACCTGCTCAAAGTTCAAAAACTTTATTGAACTAAGTTTGTATAAAAAGGGTTATTATAATATTAAGGAATTTATGGATGATAATAACCCCTGGAAATGAGGTGATCGCTACCAAGCTATTTCTAATTTGTTGTGTTGTTAATTTGTGTAACATCATGATTGTAAGCTGTTATTTAAAAAAAAAGACCCGCTGGGTTTCTTGCTAGTTCTTCCCAGGACAGAGGTTTTTTGCGAACCAGTGGTAATCAAACAAAAGAGTGACTTTCAATAAGTATTATTTATAATCTATATTGAATAAAAAAGTTTCTGTTTCAAGATTCCATATATGACATTATGCTATGGAAATAACTAAAATGAACTAATCTAGCTATTTCAATACATTCAACACAGGCTTCTCATCTTTTTTACGTCTTTTTTACAATGCTGCAGAACTAAATTTGCTAGCTTGTTTAGATATACGAAGGCCCCGTTGAAGCTACGTCAACTGTAGTTCCGAGAAAAACAGTGGATTCAACAAAGCTCAGCTCCTCCTCAATTAAATCACACTGTTATTCATATGCTTAACATTAGGTATGGTGGATTTAATATATTTCGTTTTATTTCCGTTTAAAAACTAGTTATTGACGTTAAACCAGTGTACTACTTTTGATATAGCATTGTTCACTTCGTAATAATTGTCTTTTGAGTTGGAAGATCTACGAAGTATCATCAGCAAATTAAACTATATCATGGTTATTCCATACCAAGTAAGGTAAGTCGTTAATCGTTAATATCAAGTAAGAACAGACAGGGACTGAGGAACAGCCTGAACATAGATACTACCGATCCAGAAGAACTGCTCTCGTTAATAACAACTGTTTACGTTTTATTATTTAGATATGATATAATAACTTTGAGTGCTTTTTTGCACCATAATGATGTAGCTTCCTGCTTAATCTCTCATGGTAAACGCAGTCGAAAGCATTGGAAATATCACAAAATATACCCAAAAGCATCCCCTGAATTCTCCAATACACAGAAAATATGTTTAATCAGCTCATCACCTCTCTTGATATTGAAAACCAAACTGATTTTTATGGAGTAACTTAACATTTGATCTACAACATTTTTTTCAAGGATATTACTGAGCATTTGCAGTACAGAAATAGGTCTAAAATGAGTGGGGGCCAATGTACTACTACACAGGTACGCAACAGCATAAAGGTATAACTTTATCTATGTTTCATTAAATCAGGAAACACATAAGATTCGATACTAGTGTTAAAAATAATAGCAAGTTGGGGTGCGATTGCATCTATTATAGACGCAATAACTTTAACGGAAGCTCCACATAGATCTGCTGTTTTCTTAACATCAATAGTTTTAAAATATTTTATAATATCTCCTGATAATATTTTATGAAATGCAAATTATTTTTACAGACATTTACATTTTGTTTGAGTATGTTTTACACTCGGCGACAGTAGAGGAGGAATTCAGTGACTTTGTAGTCAAGATCGGAATATCGTTAAAGTATTGTTCAAACATTTGACTATACATTTGCACATCCATGCCCGCCAATATATCGAAGGACATCAGACATATCCTCATAGGATCCGTATGGCTCAGCGAGAATGACCATACGGATCTGATGTAGCCGTTCAGGCTAAGCTCTGATATCGTTGTTATTTTTAGTGATGGTGATTTCATTACTTTTGGACATAACATAACATAACCGAAGGAGATTGTTAAGTCAAATCATTATTCAAAATATCAAACTAAAATTGTAAGGCAGGAGCTTGACCGTCTAGAGACTGACAGACAGTAATTAAAAAACTATTAATGGAAACAATCTGACAAATTTCTTGATGATACCAATCTCAAATGTTTTATCCATTTGATATATAATCATCAACTGTCCACTGGGCT